GATTTGTATTTTATTATAAGCCTAAGGAGAAGCCATTGGAGGACTGCACATAGAGAACTGATATCACCTAAACTATATTTTGAAAAGAATTACTAGAGCTACAGTAAGAGAAGGAACCATTGAAGTCCAAGAGGGCAAGACGCAAGCCCCAATAGTTGATTATTTTGGAAGTTCTTAGAGAAAACAATGGTACTTAAGACTGCAATGGTGGCAGAGGAAGTGGAGAACTGTGTCCAGATACAGGCTGCATTTGGAAGACTGGATTGCTGAGGACTTGATAATAGAAGGAATAGAAAAGATGGGAGAAAAACAAGCATAACATCTAGATTATTGACTCCTGCAGTTGGGTGATGCTGTTCACTCAGATGAGAAAGATTGGATGATCAGTACATTTGGGTGGAATGAGACTAAAGATCATTTTTGAACTATTTAAAGTTTATGTCGATACCTTTTAGATATTTTAGACCTAAGCATTTAGTAAGCAACTAAATATGCAAGGTTAGAGCTCAGGGGAGAGATTAAAATTGTTTATATTAATTCAGTTGTCATCATAATATAGTTTTCAGAAGAGAATACAAAGAAGAGAATAGAATGTTCTAGGTTTCTGCTGTTTTTTTTAACAATCAAATTCATATTTTGCAATCTCGGAGATGAGTTGGCTTCTTTGGGGCATGAGATTTCTTTTTTATAAAATAAGGGTCTTAAGAATGTTATTAGACGTTTTCAACCCCAGAATTTTATATCTATATGATTTCTACTCATAAATTGCTTTTTTTATGTCAAAAAAATTTATTTTATAAACTGTTAAGGAATTCTACTTGTGGAAAAAAAGAACATTTTGCCATTTGGCTTTTTAATACCAAGTGATCCCAATGTTATTCATTCTGGCTTTTTTCCCCYCCTTTCTATTTCCCTTAGTACATCAGGAGTGTAGATGAAGTCAGAGGAATTACTGGAACAAATGCCATTGTTTCCATATTGTGCACTAAAAATTATTATGTACGGTGTCATAGATGTCTCTGTGTTTGTGAGGTTGTGAACACTGATGAGATTTGATTGATGAACTGATAGAGGTGATTTCTGGGTACTTCACTGGCCTCAGACATACATTAATATGTCAGATTTCAGAAAGGATTCTGTTAAACTGGACCTTGAACACTCAAGATTTTATCTGTATTAGAGTCTTCTTTGACTTGGTGTCGATGGAAAATTATATTCTAGCACATTAATGCTCAGATTGTCTGACCTTTGGCTGCACCAAGTGACATCAGTCTTGTTTTTCAAGATGCTCTGATTTTTGTCTTGTTCCTCTACCTAAATTGGTTCACCTTCACTGACGCCTCTTAACATCTCATTTACATGGCTGATGGATTTTGCATCTGTGCCATCCTGAATGACCTCAATGAGAGAGATTTTGGTCAAATGATGTGGATAAAAACCTAGCTGACATAGATTCTAAAGAGAATGAAAAAAAAAAGAGAGAAATGACAATGAAGAGATAACTGAAGGGGTTTCGTGGTGGAGGGAGAGATACAGCAGCGGAGAGAGGGTCAAGGGAAGTTTCTTCCTTAAGATGGACCATATTACTAAATCATGTATAAATGAGAAAATATCCCAGTAGGAAGGGCCACGTAGGACAGAGGGCAGAGTGCTTCACTGCAGGAGTAGATGGGATCCAGGGCATAAGATGAGATAGGCGTGACATTTTGTTCACTGTAACAGCAGGAAAGTTGGAAGGAACCACTTGGTAACTGCAGTGATAGAAGGATGCTGAGTTTCTCTTCTGCTGCTTCTATATTCTCAGTGAAATAAGAACAAAGGGATCAGCAGGGAGTGAGGAAAAGGCAGGGATGTCCAGATTTGAGAAGAAAGAAGGCAGTACGAAGCAATCCTTGGAAAAGTAAGAGTGAATTAACTAGAGAAAGGGAGGAGGATTTGCAGGCAGCATGGAGGGCCATCAGAGGCGCAGGGTTATGAATTTAAGGAGAAACACTCAGCATGATTTTAATTAGTTTGTTTATTTCCTGGCTCATTCCGCTGCTTGAATTTGGCAGAGATTTAGTGTGAACCAAGGTTAGGAGTCTTCTTTGTCCAGTAAAATTCATATTAAGGAGGGTTAAGCGGGATCTAGTCCAGCAAGAAAGGAAGTTAGCAAGTGAGGGGAGCAGTGGGCAGTGAGATTTGCCTCGGAGGACCCACTGGAGGTGAGGAATGGTTGGAGTCCATAGTATTCAGAGAGTGATCCAAAACAAAAAATAGTGCTTGAAATGGAGATCTAGGAGACTTCTGTGCAGTCACTGCTGAAGACGTGGAAGGTAAGATCATGGTATTTTGAGCTGAATTAGAACAGAAGACCCCAACTTTGGAGGTTAGGAGATCAAGTGACTGAGAGGCAATGTTGGCACCAGGAAAAAAATAAATAAAAAGAAAAACAGCAAGAGAAAAGTCTTTTTGCTTAATGAGAGGTGACCATAACCTCCTCTGGATTATTGAATACTCCCCATAGTATCAACAAACATCTAGAAGCTGGCTGAGGTTCAGAGCCACCCTCTAGTAAGGAGGGTCTTCTGACATGACATTACATAGCGCAGCGGCCCGTGCTCTCTGGCCTTTCATGTCGTTGGAATCATTTCCACCACCCTCTTGGGGGTGTCTGCTTGCCTTTTGTGTGTCGTTGTTCTACCAGCTCTAAGAAGCCATCTCCCGTTAACCTTTCCAGCTAAGCTGTGGTAACAAGAGGGAGCATTTCTACAGCTCAGTGAGCATCCATCCAGGTGAATTGTCAGCATTCTTACTACAAATACTTTCTCTGAAAGGCTCTTTAGCTTCCTTCAGCTTTTTTCAGATAAATCCCTTCTTCCCACAAGACCCTCTAACCTTCTCTCTGTAGGAAGTAAGGGCTGGGGCCTGACTGACTTCCTTTCCGTCTTCAAAGCAGTATTCTTTCTTATCCCTCTTTCAGCACAAATTAGGACTTTTCCTTTAAAATCTGACTTGCTTTTTATGATCTTATAGGTTCTCTTTCTAAAAGCAAATCCATGGGACCCTACAGTTGTGTAGTCAGAATTCAGGACTATTACATTTCTCTTTTCTTCAGCTTCACAGAGGTATGCAAACTATTACAAATTTAAGACAGAGATTGCTGGTTAATGTTTAGCATTGGATCACAAGTACAGAATATAGTTGCTTCAAATTACTTTAAGACATTCAGAACAAGATAACAGGAATATTCTCCTTGTGCTGACTGCCCAGGAAAAATAGCAAATAGATTGTCGGCACCAAGGACATTAATATTGAAACTGGCTTTCTTCAGTTTGATGTGGATCTTAATTAGCTCGTGTTCTATTAGCTTGATCCTGTCTGACTTAGGTCTCGAGATACTTAGTTCTCTTATATGGTTTATTCTAAATTATACTTTATTTCTAGAGATTCTCTACCCAAACAGCATAAACTCCAGCATCATCTTTCCAGCATTTTCTTCCAGTCTTCAAATCCCACCGGCCTTTTCTCAGGAAAACTCCCTTTTCCCCATTCCCACTCCTATATCAAGGAGGATAGGCCCTCATATCATCCATGTTCCTTTCTTTAAAGCATTTGTCCTACATAAAAATAAAATCTTCCTTCTTAAAAAATAGTAAATTTATTTATCTGTTTCATGACTTTCTCACACACTGAAATCCAGGCCTTAAGGGCAGCACAGTGGTTTTTTTCCATGCTGAGCATGCTGTCTTAAAGACGGAGATAATTATTGAACAAATGAATGAAAACTCCCAAGACATCTACCTATAGTCAAAATGAGGGGATCTGTTGGTGTGTTCAGAAATATTTGAGATTGTGTGGACCAGAGGATGTCTATAAGCTTAAAGAGCTTGCCCTTCAAAGTTTGAGTAATTATGTATTCAAACTTTAAAACATGTTTAGTTTTAAAACCTAATTATGTCTGAGTGGGAGGTTAACTTAAATTTTATGTAGAAAAATCTGTATTCATGGTTTTTTAGTGGTGGTATTCTAAGTGTGCTGCTAGTTATAATAATTGGCATCTTGCTTGCATAGGCATTGACTTAGCAAAAAAAAATTCTTACCACCCTTGAAAACTCAGTTTGAGGTCTACAGATGACCAGTCAATAGGACTATTATGAAATAAAACAAAAGGCCCATGTAAGATGAAATCATCTTTAAACTATTTCGCCATTTATTGAGTCTTTGTTATGCTATTTTGTTATTGTTTAAATTAGGAATATCATCAGTTGTCTTTCTTAATCACCAAGCAGCTAACCTAAATGTTTTTGAAGATTACATGTAATTTAATCTATAAAATAACCAAAATGTCTAAATAATAATTTTTAGATTGAAAGTTAATTCCTTGTTTCTTTCCCATTACTCAGTTTCATTTGGATTTATAAAAACATTTGAGTGTATCAAATTTTTTAAAAGTCCTGTGCCTTTTTAAAGTTCAGAATTTCAAAATAAATGTCTCTGTGTTTTATAAGTATATCTGTGAAGGTGCTTTATCACTTGACTATGATTTGACTGTGTAGGTATTGAAAAATTAGATAGACATGAAAGGCTACTTGCATTTGTATTTGGGGCTTCTATAAAGGTTAAAATTTGTTGAAAAATTATATCTGGGAAGTTTTTTATTACTTCCTTTCCTCTTTTGAGAAAAGTATTATTTCCAAGCTTATTTGTATTAAATGGCCTACATCAAACCTGTCCTTGTGAAAGTTTCATGGTTACCTTTTCCCCCACCTTTTCCACCATTTTCTAAATGCATTAGGGAGTAATCTTTTTTTTTTTTTTTTTTAAAGGCCAATACAGATGGCAGGACTGCTCCAGATTTTGTGTTACTGAGGAAGCTGTTGCATACAAATTTATTTTGAAACTATGAGCAATGATTAAAAATCAGAGGGTGTTGCAGTAGAGTTATTAGAGGTCAAAATATGATTTGCTGTTACCATCAAGAACTATTGACTTTTGAACCCCTGAACACTCTCTTCTAGCTGCTTTCGAAATCTATTGAACAACTGAAGCAACCAGGCAGTCACCTGGAGGAAGCTGAGGAAGAGCTTCAGGGGGACCAGGCCATGCAGGAAGACAGAGCGCCCTCTAGTGACAACAGCAGTAGGAGCGACAGCAGTGCTTGTGTGGATGACACACTGGGACAAGTTGGGGCTGTGAAGGTCAAGGAAGAGCCAGTGGACAGTGATGAAGATGCTCAGATCCAGGAAATGGAATCTGGGGAGCAGGCTGCTTTTATGCAACAGGTAATAGGCAAAGATTTAGCTCCAGGATTTGTAATTAAAGTTATTATCTGAACATGAAATTCATTGCAGGTTTTGGTAAATGGATATCATTTCCTATTAGTTTATAACTCTGAAGGATCTGATTTTAGTGTTTGAGGATTCTAATACAGGTGAATGTATATATCTATGTAGAGATCTGTCTATGTTGATCTCTAAGTAGATATTCAAGGTTTAATTGAAACTCCACTGGTAAGAAAATACCTGTTACACTAAAATTATGCTACATAATATCCAAGTAATTAATAGGCTTTAAATTCATCCCAAAGCCTGCTGCACCATTTACTTCTAAGGAAAATGAACTTACTGTTATTTTTAGTTTATCTGTTGAGATCAGTGACTGCTGGATGTACTCATCCAGTCTGATCAGTGAAACATCCTATTAGTTTTTGGTCTTTTTGAACATATAGAATCCGATTTTCACATCACTGTACATAATGTATCATACTACTGTCTTAAGCACTGTTAAAGGTAGTCTGCCCCTCCTTCCTCTCTCTTTTTTGTTAAGTAGAAATATTCTGGTTACCATACCAGTAGTCCTAGGCTATTGTGTAGATTGCAATTGAAAATATTAGAAATGCAGGCGGTTTTAAATATGTAAATGCAAATTGGAGTACTTTAAATATAACATTATGTCTCACCTAGCACTGCACATTTTACTTTTATCTTGTGTAATTTGATGACATTGTGCATTTAAAAAAGATCAAATGAAGCAGATGCAAATGTTGGTGAGAAGTAATGTGCAACATTATGGTCCAATCAGATACTTATCGTATCTACAACTGCAGAAAATACAGTGATTGTCACCTGATAGCAAGTCAAAACCAGTTTTTTAAAAAAGGTGTATTTTATAATCATTATGACTAGATGCTCTTAGATATAATTCCATAATGACATGGCACATGCCATATCATTTTGGCAAATGAAAAATTATGAAAGTTGGGTTTAACAAAATAATTTACTTGTATATAATGCACCTTCAGAAGGACTATGTCCTTTGATTCTATAAAATACAAACAACTTTGAAGGCAAAGAAGACCATGTTTATTTAAGTCAGTTCTTTGTCAGGTTCCTGCTGTTCTACTACAGAAAAGTGATTCTGTGAGGCTGAACAGGAAATGCCTTGTGGAAACAGGAAGTCCAAGTGATTCATGTACTGAGGAATGTAGGAAAAAAAAGTCTGAGGATAGTGTTTTACTCTTTCTGTTTTTAAAGGGCACTCTATGAATTGATTTATTGTCTAAGAAAATAACACCACAAGTAGGGAAATTGTTACGGAAGCTTTTCACTGGAACATTTCCTTCATATTCCCTTTTGATATGTTTACCTTGTTTTATAGGTTTACTTTTGTTAAGCTAGTTAAAGGTTCATTGTATTAAGATCCCTTTAATATGGATAATCCAAATTGACCTAGAATCTTTGTGAGGTTTTTTTCTATTAAAATATTTATATTTCTAAATTCAAGGTATTTTAAGGTGTAGTATCCTGTTTCAAAGGAGATATAGCAGTTTTGCCAAATGTAGACATTGTTCAACTGTGTTACTGGCACGTGTTGTTTACATTTTGCTGTGACATTTAAAAATATTTCTTTAAAAATGTTACTGCTAAAGATACATTATCCTTTTTTAAAAAGGCTCCATTCAAATTAAATTAACATAACTAGAAGTTAGAAAGTTTAAAACTTTTCCATATAATGAAAGTCCTTCTGATAATTTGACAAATAGCTATAATAGGCAACACTCCCTATCACCAACATATTGGCTAGTATATTCCTTCATATTAAAATGACTTTTTTGTCAGTTGTTTTGCATTAAAAATATGGCATGCCTAAGATAAAATTGTATATTTTTTCCATCTCATAAATATTCATTTTCTTCAAAGTCTTTTTTCAATCTCATAAAAAAAGGGATAGTGCATCTTTTAAAATACATTTTATTTGGGGAGGAACATGTGGCTGAGCAGACTTTTGTATAATATTACTTCAAAGATATGTAATCACAAACAAAAAAACTATTTTTTATAATGTTATTTGAGAGAGCTTCATCAGTACAGTTGGTGGACGTTAATTGTTTGAATTTGATAGTCTTTGAATTTAATCAAGAAACTACCTGGAACCAGTGAAAAGGAAAGCTGGACTTAAATAATCTTAGAACTAATTGATAAATGTCTCTTTTAAAATATACTGTATTTATTATAATTTACACCCTTGAAGGTGATCTCTTGTTTTGTGTTGTAAATATATTGTTTGTATGTTTCCCTTCTTGCCTTCTGTTATAAGTCTCTTCCTTTCTCAAATAAAGTTTTTTTAAAAGATCCCCTTTCATACATTTGGCTTTGTGTAAACTTTATATATTTAATTGAATTTGAAACTTGTATGCCAGGTCTCATATGCCAAAATATATTGCCATTTTTTTTGTTGAATCAAGAAAATAAAGATATTTTGAGAAGTTACTTCTAATACCATTAAAAAATAATCATTCAACAATAACGACTCTAAACTATTTACACCAGCCATTATCAAATAGTAAACATATGTAAAATTTGTTGCATTCTCCTTTTTCCAGTGTGAATTTTCCCATGATATGCTATCATCTTTGGTATTTAAATTAAAATGTCAACTTATAAATATAAAACTTCAAATAAATAGATGTCAGTTCCTAATTTTGCTCAACTTAAAAATTATTTTTAAAAAGCTTATTATAATCCCTTGATGATAACAAGCATTCAGTAAATATTAAAATGAATAATTTTCCAACTATTATAATAATTACGCTTATCACAATGAGATCTTGAACTACACATATATAGTGACAGGGAATAAATTCAAAGAGAAAATAGTAATTAAATGAGCTCCCCTTGTGTGGTAACAATTGCTGTAATACTAGTGTGAAGAACAAAGAGCCTAATCAGGTAAAGGGAACTGTACCATACTTGTCCCACGGGCCAGGCGGTATCTACTTACTCCTCTTCTAAGGTGTTGCCAGCAAAACTCGAGTCAATGCTTCATAATGTGTTACTGTGTATTTGGTTCAATAGGTTAAAAGTAATTTTTTATGTTCTTTGGTTCACTTAATCTAATCTTCAGTAGTGTCATATTCTAAGTTACAACAGTATTGCATTAGAGTGTTAAGAAATATGGAGCTATAATTATTGAATATTACATAATGCATTATCATTCTATGAGACCATAACTTGGATAACTCGGTAAGAATTCTGGAAATACCATTAATGCTAGTTATAATTTTCTGAAATTTGGCTTTGGACTATTATTCAAAAGATTAATTCAGAAGAGATCCTAAAATAAGAGAGGAATCCATGAAATAATGGTTTTATAGTGTATATCTGATTTCTGAAATATTATATAAAGTAACCATTTTAATAAAAAGCATCAGTATTTTTTTCTCCATAAAAACATTCCTTGCCAAGGCTTGGTATAAAAAAAATCATTAGAGTTTTTCTTCTGCAGTAAGCCTCCTCCCTGGTGAAGGTGATTGCTAAAGGGTAGAGTACTACTTTTCATAGATTGCCTTTAAGAAGTTTTTATTTGTTTCATACTTTTCCTTCCAAAGGATGTTATAAAAGAGTTTTTAAATCTATAACAGATTTTTTTTAAAATCTGGCATTTCTTGGTGATTTTTTTTCCAATAATTGGAACATGAGTTTATAAGTCACTGTAGAAGGTATAAATGGTGGGTGTACATTTGAGGATTTACAGTGATAAATAGTTGAGGGCTTTAATTGTAACCAGTTGTAGTGAGAAGCTTTGAGATGCAAGAGAAGGCTTTTGAAACTATCTCTCCCTTTATTATTGATAATTTTTCCATCTAATATAGGAGAGTGATCAAAGAATTTAGACAAAGGGAAAATGGGTTTGTGATTTTCCACCAAGCTCAGAATATATTTGGACTTAAAAAGGTTTCTACTCATATGGTTTCATATCTTTTTGTAATAACTTCTTTGAGGCTTATGAACTATTTAGACAATGTTTCATATTTGGATCATCTTTATTTGCCAAAAGATTTTTACTTTCAATGATTGTAGCCCTACAGTGCAACCAGGCATTCTTGCAAACACTTTGTATCTATTAATCTTCTCAATCTACTCACATCTATCAACTTGTTCAGGCCTCACTTATTAAGTAAATAACACTATCATTCCATCSTAGAGCTAAGAGCACTGGGCACTGAGTAGTAAAAGTCAAGGTCACCCAGTTAGTGGCAGTCCAATTTTAATGTGGCACCAGAGTCCTTGCTCTCAAGCTTTAGCACTGCTCAAAAGCTTGTGCAGCAGTTCTCTTGACATGTCCCATATGCATGCTTCTGACCAGTATATTCAATTGATCCTACTTCTCAGTCTAGTCCATCCACCATCCGCCTCCCCATTAGCATTTACCAAACTGTTTTGAATCACTTACCTCTCTCTCTTCTTTTAATTACTGCTACAAATTACAAGATTAGGATTCTTTTATTTTCCCTAACAGCTGAGGGTTGTAATTCCTGCAATGATGTAGTCAGTCATTTTTAATCATGAAAACATGGGGGGTTTTCTTTTGTTTTGTCCCTTACCCCCAGTTCCAGTACTGAGATGGATTAAAATAGAGTGACCATACCTGGGTAGAAAGGACTTCAACCAGCCAAGTTGACCTTCACCACTGCTCACCTAATTCCCCAGCCAAGGCACAGAATCCAGTTTTTAAGTAGGACCCTGTCTGTTAAAACATTTTTAACCTGTCAGGCATGCACTTGATAATCATTTTGACCTACATGTTCTGTATAAAACGTTGAGGATGGAAAAACAGAATCATCCATTGAGTTGTAGACCTCTGAAGCATTTTTTTTTTTCTAATTAGAATGTGCAGAAGAGTCCTTTTGAGAGAAACAGATTCTGACCACACTCCCACAGGTTCTGATCCTATAGTCCTGACCTGGAGCTCAGGAATGTACATTTTTCAAGCCATTTGGGAG